GTCCGATTAGTCCCGGGCTCCTGGGTAGTGGGTCTCTCGCGTTCGCCGCCGCTCGGGTCTGGCGTCGTCGGCTGGCGAAGCAAAGCTGCTCGCCGGTGATGGCTTCGGTACACAATCTTTCATCCTTGCTCCTTATTTGTAACCCCTCCATGTCGCGCCCCCGGAAGTGTCGGTAGGGCGGGGCGGGCGTTTCGCTTGAGACGTTTTCGCCAGTTATGATCTTTAATCTAGAAATTTGCAGCACATTGACGGATGGAGGGCGTGCAGTTTCTTAGGTGTGGCTCTCGCCTTAGCGCCGTGCGCATTCGCCTCGAGAGTGCGCCGTTGTTTCACAGATGGATGGCGGGTGGTTTTCAAATTGTGCCTGTCGTAGGTAAACAGGTCGTTGCAGTTTTGCTGATGTAGGGTGGGCCGAGTTCAAGCTGTGGTTTTCGCTTCTGCGCCGCGCGCGCTGGTCTTGAAAAGTGTGCAGCCGTTTTTCAGATGTAGGGCGGGCCGTTTTGAAAATGTTGCTCTCGCTGTATCGCCGTGCACATGTGCTTCGAACGTTTGCAGCGGTTCCGCGGATGGGCGACGATTCTTTCTCAACTTGCGACTATCGTTTAAGCGCCGCACGACGTTTACTCAAACTTTGCAGCACTGCCAGAGTTTCGTTTGGCTGAACGGGGCCCATACATGGTTTTCTGACACGTATTGGGATTGTAAGGACGCGTCGGTCTCGTTCACTCGCTGCGTTGAAGCCGAATTCGCTGTGTTGGCGTCGAATGGTGTACTGGCGCGGCGGTCGCGTTGAATCGTTGTGTTGAAGTCGAAGGACTGGTGTTTTGGTACGGTGTACTCCAAATCTCATAATACAGGGGGGGGGGTCAAAGAAGTGTTTGACGGCCGGTCTGGGACCCCCCCCAAGTAGACCCCCCCCCAGACAGGCAACAAAGGGTCCCAAATCGAGACCCCCCCACAATTGTGTTTGACGAAGCCCGTTAGACCCCCCCCAAAAGCAGACTCCCCCCCATTGTTATGAGATCCGGAGTAATCTTGTCACTTGTCAGGACGCAACCGATGATTCGCGGCGCTGAAGTCCCAGGAAGGCTGTCTGGGCACGGTTGAGGGTTCTCAAACGTTTGTCTTCCAATGGGGCACTTCCCGCAATGAGAGTGAATTCTTGTAGGGGTTTGTGACGAGGGAGATTGGAGTCAGGGTCACAATGCATGTTTTACCGGTTTTTGAGGTTTTGGGGCTATGCGCGCCTAGGCGAATCTATACGCAACAATGTGATAATTGTTTACAGTGTTTGCCGACTTTCCGACCTGAAGAACTTGTTTTTCCAATGGATGATTGGGGGGGGGGAGGGAGATGCAGGACGAACGGAACGACAAATAACGCAAGGAGCATGTGTGTATTCCATTCAAAAGAGACCTCCTTCCATTCCGCTCACATGAATCTTTTTGTGCCCCACCACACGCAATGCTCTCGTTATGCGCAAATCCCGTGTGCGGCGGGGTGCAACATGATTCCTCACGCGGCTGAAGACAAAACATATCCAAACTGTATAGGGTTTCGCAAAAGAGTTCCGTTTGCGGCGGAATACAGAAGGATTCATTTGGTGGCCGCATACGAGAGGTTTCCTTTTCGTGGCAGAGTGCATCATGATTCGTTTCGTGGTGTGATTCCGAATGCACGAGGAATCTTTCTGTGGATGATTACCGAGGGATATCTTATGTGGTGGCGTATCAAAAATAATCTTTATGTTGCTGAATACACAAGGTTCTCCTTTTGTGGCGGAGTGCGAAAGAATTCGTTTTGTTGCAGAGAACGCAAGGACTCTTTTTGTGGCTGAGTGCAAAAGGATTCATCTTGTGGTGGGTTACAGAGGGCTCTTTCATTGTGAAATGAATGCAGCAAACTTCCCTCCTTGGTCGATTACCAAAAGATTCTTTATGTGGTGGGATACCAAGGCAATGCGTTGAAGCGGAATACCACATTTTTTTTTGTTGTTGAAAAAGTGGGGTACGCAAGGATTCATATTGTGATCGAGCGCCGGTGAAACAATCAACAAACACATGATAAATCCTGGCGATGGCCCAGGGATATTTGCCAGAAGTCATGGTGTCTCTGTGGCTTGTTCCCACGTGTTTCGTTGGGTTCTCCCCCGCATGTTTAGTGGGTTTTTTGTTTTCTTCCCACCCGCGGCGCACCTGCGTCTCACTCGCACACTCACACGCTCACCTCCCTCCCTCTTCCCTGCTCACCTCCTCTTCCTCTCCCGCGTCGTCCACGCCAATAGATAGTAGGCGTGGCGCCGACTCGACACCAGAGGGGATACGCAGGGGGTGGGTGTTTTCAAAGTGTAGGGCGAACGGCATTTTCTGGAAGCCACAAAGGGTGCACAAGCTGGGCGGGGCGCTATCATTCATCATCATCATCATCATCATCATCATCATCATCATCATCATCATCATCATCATCATCATCGTCAAGAGCTGTAGCCACCCTGGCTCATGCTGGCTCAGGCAGCTCGATGCGTGAACGCGGGCGACCGCCAAGGACTCTCCGTCAAAGGTAGGTTCCCTGCCATGGCGCGCGCCACGTTGCCACCTTCGTGCGAGCAGCTCAAGCACACAATATTAGAGATGGGCGCCGAGGTGAACCTCTATTGTTTGCGCGCATGTGTTGCCGGGTATGGGGACGTTTTGGTACCCAGCTCATTTCATGCTTACCAGCGACAGCGTCTGAATTGATGGCCTGGGGCACTCTTCGCCACGTGCAACAACTTGCCGCTTCAACGTCCAGGCTTTTGCCCTTCCTGGACCCCCTCACGGTATTCAGGCCCCCGAGGCTTGACCGGCGCCGCCAACGGTATCGGCGAAGCAGCGGCCACTTGCATCATTCTCGCAAGTCTCATGTCAGCTATAATCACCCCATACATATGAGAAGTGCGTGTTTGGTTATGTTTTTCTTTTTTTTGTCTGGTTGTTGCCAACGCTTGTCGCTCACAAATGAAATCCTTCTGCATTCCGCCTTGGGAGGAATCCGTTGGCATTCCGCCACGAAAGGATTGTCTCTGTATTCCGCCACAAAGGAACCCAGTGGTAATAAGCCGCAACATTTTTTTCATATGCACTCCACCACTACAGGAATCTTTCAGTAATCCACCGCGCAGCGAATCCCTTGTGTTCCGCCACGTCATGAATTCTCTTATATCCCGCCACAAAAAGTAATCCTTTTGTTTTCCGCCACACTGGAGATCATGCCGTGTTCCGCCACAAGAAGAGCTCGTGCATTCCGCCACATAACGAACCCTGTTGCACTCAACCACGTAAGAATTCTTGTTGTACTCTGCCACCAAAGGAATCCCTGAGCAATCCACCACAGAGAAAATCTTCGATGTCCTACCACGCAAAGAGTTTTTTTTGTGCTCCGCAACACATGTCATCTTTTTGGGTAATCGACCACCAGAGGAATCTCTTTATATGCTGCCGCATATAGAATCTTTGGGTACTCAACCAAACAAGGATTCTTTCAGTATTCTACGACACGAAAGGATCCTTGTGTTATTCACCACGCGCGGAATCCCTGTTACATTCCATCAGCGCCGGAACTCCTCTAGTATTCTACAACAAAGGAATAATTGTGCATCCCGCCATACAGGGGAACGCTTTTATATTCGGCCACAAATCGTTTTTAAATGATACTCCACTACCAAAGGAAACCTGTTGTAATCCACCGCGTGTGGATCCTCTGTGTATCTCGCCAGTCTGAACGGTTTTGTTTTGTGCAACACATGGAATCCGCCTGTATTCCGCCACAACGGGAATGGTCGGTCCGCCGTAAAGAGGAATCCTTTTGTTATCCGAAGTCGATATTTCCGCCGCCGAAAGAACTGGCACATACAAAATGATTGTTTCTGTTGTGGGATACAAATGAAATTATTTGGGTGACATGGGAACACGTTTCTGATTTAATTGAATACGCATAGATTTCACGCGCGGCGGATTGCAATGGACAAAACACGCTCAAACCGCTCAGGCCTGTATCGTGCCTGGCGCCCCGCCTCCTCCTCCTCCTGAGCTTCTTTTCTTTATCACACCCCGATGCCGGTCGGAAGGGCGGGCTGGGCGTTTCTGTGGAGATTCTTTGTCCGCGCGTGATCTTGAGGTTTGAAATCTGGCAACAGTTTTACGGATGGAGGGCGGGTCGCTTTCAAAATGCGGTTCTTGTTTTCGCGCCGCGCACATCCGTTTGAAACAAATTCAAGAGTGCCACGGATTGGAGGTGGGCCGTTTTCATAGTGTGGCTGTCGCCTTTGCGCGGCGCGCATTCGATTCAAACATTTGCAAAAATGCCACGGATTGATGGCGGGTCGTTTTCAAAATGTGGCTCTCGCCACAGCCCCGCGCACACTCGTTCCACGCACGGGTTCTCATGGTTATTGTGCCGAAAATGATGTTATGGAACGGTGTAGGACTGTCAGGGCGCAACAGTTTCGATGTTTCGCGAAGTTGGAGTCCCAGGACTGGTGTTCTGGCACGATTCAGGATTGTCAATACACAATCGCCAGTTAGATGTGTGGCGTTGAAGTCCCCCAAAACGGTGCGTTGGCACTGTTCAGGATTTGCAGACGGATGTCCCCCAACGGGGTACGCGCTTCAGTGGAAATGAATCTTTCTAGGGGCCTATGAAGAAAAGGATTTATCGCAACATCGTCAACCAGTCTTGGGTTTACACTGGGCCACCTCTTTCCCCTCCCCGTCCCTGTGGCTCACGAAGCCTGTGGCGATTTCGGGCAAATCAGGACCGGCGCGGTCGGCTTGCTTCCCCTCCCCCATCCCTCTGGCCCTCCTCTCCCTTCCCCTTTTTCCTCGCCCCCCTCCCCCTCCCCCTTCTCCTCGCCCTCTTCTTCCTCCTCCCCTTCCTCCTCCTCCTCCTCCTCCTCCTCCTCCTCCTCCTCCTCCTCCTCCTCCTCCTCCTCCTCGCAGTCTGCTCGACGTCACCCCCCTGGACCCCTCCCGGAGCTCGCATTCCGCAGGGGCCTACCCTTGGGGGGCGCCGATGCGGGCCCCCCGAGAGGGCCGATCACTCGGCGGCAAGTCTTCCTTTGGACACCGCGCGCGGGCGCCGCGCACGGCCGCCCGCGCCGCGCAGACCATCGGCTACGCGCTCTCCGTGCAGATGGACTTCACGGCCCACTCGAGGAGTTGCCCGCGGAGGGGGGGGAAGGAAGAGGAGGAGGGGGAGGAGGAGGAGGAGGAGGAGGAGGAAGAGGAGGAAGAGGAGGAGGAGGAGGAGGAGGAGGAGGTTGAGGATGAGGATGAGGAGGACAGCGAGCCTGCCTTTATCGCCGATCGCTGAGGATGATGATTTGGAGGATGATGATGCTGCTGATGATGATGCTGATGATGATGATGATGCTATTGTTGATGCTGATGATGCTGATGATGTTGCTGATACGGATGATGATGATGATGCTGATGATGATGATGATGATGCTGATGATGATGATGATGATGATGATGATGATGATGATGCTGATGATGATGATGATGATGATGATGCTGATGATGATGATGATGATGATGATGCTGATGCTGCTGATGATGATGAGTATGGGGATGGGGATGAGGAGGAGGAGGAGGAGGTGGATGACCAGAGTAAACACAATGAACACTAACATGCTTCTCTCATATTCCTATGATGCCGTTCTGGTTTTCAAGCAACAATCTCGTGCATTGCGTTTTTGTCATGCAGGGTATATGTGAGCTGCCTTCCTGTATGGGAACCTACCGTTTGTTCCTGGTGAAGAGGTTTTATTTTGGTGCGTTCCATGGTTGCCTGGCCGGGGCCAAAAAGGTATTGCTCTTGCAACAACGAGTTTCTCCTCCTCGTCCTCTTCCTCCTCCTCCTCCTCCTCCTCCTCCTCCTCCTCCTCCTCCTCCCCCTTCAACGTACACAGCTCTGTTTTTCCGACTATGCACCAAACGATAGGGGTAACGTTGGGGATTCAGGTCCGCTAGGACACCCGTTGGCGGACAGGGAACAAATCAGCGCAATGGGAAGGTATCGAAGACGCCTACGGCGAATCACCGCCGCCCCCTGCCTTTTTGGAAGCGCCGATATGGCCGAACGTTGAGGCCAGACCTGCCAAGCCATCGGACCATGTGTTCCCCGAATCGGTTTGGAAAGCCTTCGGGGAACACGTGAGCATTTTGAAGGTCATCTTGGCCGTCTTGGAGGCCTCTTGGGCGATCTTTCGGCGATCTTTGGGGGCTCTTGGGCCGTCTCGGGCCGTCGGCAGGCCGAAAAGAAGGAAGTGTCAAAATCCGTCGAAAACCTTCGGACAATCAAGGTTTTTGGCTTTTTCTGGCCTTCCTGGAGGCCCTCTTGGGGGCCTCTTGGGCCGTCTTGGGCCAGCTTCGAGCCAACTTCGGCCATCTTGGTGGGTTCCTGGCACGTCTGACGCCGTCGGGAGCCGTCTCGGGGGCCTTTCTGGGCCAACAGGGGACCCTCTTGAGGCGCTTAGGGGCCGTCTTGGAGGCCATCTTGGGCGTCTTGGAGGCAATCTTGGGCGTGTTGGAGGCCTCTTCGGCCATCTTGGGGCCCTCTTGGGGCCATCGTGGAGGCCACTTGGGCCGTCATGGGGCCCTCTTGGGGGCCTCTTGGGCGATCTTGGGGGCCTCTTGGGCCGTCTTGAGCCGTCGGAATGCCGAGAAGAAGCAAATTCCAAAATCCTTCAAACACCTAAGGAACATCAATGATTTTGGCCTCTTCGGGCCCTCCTGGAGGACCTCTTGGAGGCCTCTTGGGCCGTCTGGGAGGCCTCTGGGGGGCCTCTTGGGCCTTCTTGGGCCGTCTTGGACTCTCTCGGGCCGTCCTGGAGGCATCTGAAAGCCATCTTAGCCGTCTTGGAGGCCATCCTGGCCGTCTTGGAGGCATCTTGGAGGCCATCTTGGAGCCGTCTTGAGCAGGAAATTGGGGAATTGAGGTCCTTGGCAATCCTCCCGGTACCCCGGGGGACGGGCCGGAACCCATTGGGAGAGTTCTTTTAGGAAAAAACCAAAGCCAAAACCGTAATAGTTTGGCACGCCAGGCACCCCTGCGATGAATCGACAGGGGGCGGCGGATCTGTCGGCCTTCGGCCCATCCCGCTAACGTGCCTGGGCTGTCCGTATGAAGCCTATTTGATGTTCGTGGGGATCTAGTGGGAGGCCTCTCGGGGGCCTCTTGAAGGCAGCTTTGAGGCCTCGCGGGGGCAGTAGTCTCTTGGGGCCTCCTGGGGGCCTCTTGAGCTCTTGGAGCCTCTTGGGGTCCTCTTGGGGGCCTCTTCGGGCCTCCTGGGCGCCTCTTGGGGCTTCCTGGGGGCCTCTTGGGGCGGAAGGACCAGATTTTCGGTTCGTGTTCCCTCTGTTGCCCACCTTTGTGGGCCGTCTTTTGGTCCCCTTGGGGCGTCGTCGGCGTCTCTTGGGCCGTCTTGGGGCCCTCTCAGCTGTCTTGAATCATTCTTGGAGGCCGCTTGGGCCGTCTTGGGTGGTCTTCGGGGCCTCTTGGCCGTTTTGCAGCGTCGGAAAGCTGAAGAGGCGAGACCGCCCAAATTTCTTTTTCACACACCTAGGGAACATCAATGGTGTTTGTCTCTTGCGGGACCTTTTGGGAGGCCCTTTGGAGGCCTCTTGGGGCGTCCTTGAGGCTTCTGGGGCCACCCTGAGGCCATCTTGGGCGTCTTGGAGCGATCTTTCGCCGACTCGAGGACCTTTGAGATTGTCTTGGAGGCCTCTTGGGACCCTATCGGCCCCGCTTTAGGCCTTCTCAGCTCCGTAAAAGCCATGCGAGAAGCGGCGTGTAGCGGCGCCAAGCCCCGTGAGATTTGGCAATTTGGGCTCCAGGCCCTTTGAATCCTCAGGTGATGAGTGAGGCTCAGAAGATTTGGCAAAGGACCTGAGGACACGCCCGCTCCATGCCCGAGGACACGGTGGCGGATGGGTGGGAGGGACAGGACGTCAGATGTGGCGCGATCTTGCCCAGCTTGACCTGTTCCCCCCCCCTTGGCTCTCTCGCCCCCCTTCCCCTGCCTCCCCCTTCCCCACTCTCGTTCCTCCCTTCGCCACCACCTCCGCCTCACCCCCCGCTTCCGCTCGCGCTTCCGCCTGAGCCTCCGTCGCCGCCTCCGCCTCCTCCGCCCGCGTCGGCCCACCGCGCTTCCCCGCCCTGTCCGCTGGCCAGCCGCCGCCGTGAGGATGGGGGGACAGCTTGGCCTCCGCGACACGCTCGACCCGCCGGACGATCTCCGGGACTGGTACGAGCGGATTTTCGAGTCCACCGTTGCGCTGGAGGAGGGCCGTATCTGTCTTCCCTGGGGCTTGCGTTTCTTTCCCCCCTTCTCTATGTGCAGGTGGCCCTCTCCTCCGTCTCTCCCTCCCGTGCCTGCCTTCCTCCGAACCCTCCACATGACATTACCCACGGAGCCCACCCGCACAATTCGTGCAGTGTGGTCTCAAGACGCTCGAGTTCAGATCGGACTCCCCGCTTGTGTTCCCCTGCAGAAACGCCTCGGCAACTCTGCGATCCCCATGGACATCTTGCGCGAGTCGTACTTGTCGTTCTACACGGCCGACCACGTGAGGGTGGGGAGAATTGCCATGGACTTGCCGCGGAGCCCTCTGGACCCAAGGAGCCTGGGAAGAGGAGAGGGACAATGATGGTGGTGTTGATGCTGATGACGGCGATGATGACATTGATGCGATTCTGATTGTAATGCTGATGTTGGCGACGATGAAGACATGTATAGGGTGGTGTTGATATGTGGTGGTGATGGCTGATGGTTTTGATGCTGCTTGATGATGCTGATGACGATAACGAGGACGACGACGATGCTTCCGATGATGATGCTGCTGATCATGATGGTGCTGATGATGACCACGACGACGATGGCGACGCCGATGACGATGACGATGACGATGGCGATGACGATGGCGATGACGACGATGACGACGATGATGCTAATGCTGATGCTGATGCCGATGCTGATGCTGATGCTGATGACGATGGCGATGCCGATGACGACGTCGACGACGATGAGGATGATGATGCTGATGACGACGATTTTGTTGTTGATGATGATGGTGGTGGTGATGATGCTGGTGATGATGATGATGACGACGATGATGATGCTGATGCGGATGCTGACGCTGATGATGATGATGATGATGATGATGATGATGATGATGATGATGATGATGGCGATAATGGTGATGATGAGCAGGCTGATTACAGTCAGTCATGATAGTAAGGATGGGCAACTTGGCCAGGGTACCCTTGCATTCTTGCCCCTTCGGCGCACCCTTGCCAACTTTCGCTGGCCAGCCCTTCAGGGTACCCTTGCATCCTTCGGAATTCGGCCGCGCTTCGCGCGGAAAACCTCAGCATGGCGTTCCAAGGCCCTTGCATCCTTACCGCGCATCCTTATTATCCTGCTCGACTAGATGATGATAATACTCAGTATGGTGGTGATGATGGTGATGATGGTGGTAGCGGTGATGGTGATGATTATGATGCAGGTGGCAATCGTGATGGTGATGGTGATAATCATGGCGAGGAGGATGATACGCAGACGGGATGATAGCTAATGGGGGATGAAAAGGAGAAGGACCAGGAGGAGCACCGATGAGTAGAAGGAGGTGCAGGAAAAGTAAGAGCAGGAGGGAGGAGCAGCAGGAAGGGAGGAGCAAGTCTGGAGGATGAGGGCTCCCAGGGCATCCGCCGCTCTCAGACGTCTTGGGCCCCCTCCCAGGGGGGGGGGGGGGCTGCTCTGGGCGGTCCCCAGATCCCCGACGTCATAAGTTTTTCACATCGTCGACCCCCAGGGGTCTCGACCCATTCCACGGGACCGGCTTCTCATCCTTCGCCGTTGCTTAGCGGCCCCCTGGAGACTGTGAATAACGGAAAATTGCCTGTCTGGATTTTTCCATGACCCGAGGGGGTTTTGGGTCCCCAGGGCCTTCGGGAGCAAATCATGGGAGCCTTCGGGAGCAAATCATGCAAGCCGTCTTTAGAGTGCATGGACGTCGTTTTGCGTTTGTTGATCCATGAGGTAACGCCGATTTAGCATTCATGAAAGTCGGTTAGCGTCGATTAGCGTCGATTTGGCGTCGATCAGCGGCGAGCAGCGTCGATTAGCAAGAGACAGCAAGGTGGTATGGGAAGCTCCCATGAGTTGCCACAGAACGGGGCCCTGAGGTGCGCTGCGGACGCGAGAGAGGGCCGCGAGCGGCGGTGTACCTCCGCGGCTCCTCGCCTCGGAGGGCCGCCCCGCGCGGAGAGGGTGTGGGCCTTGATCGCCGGCGAGCTGGTGTACGTGCGTCTGCCAGCATTATTTTCGAGCGCCGAGCTCGTCGGCTGCTCGGCCCCGGAGGCCAAGAGGACTGCAGCACTTCGTGGCAGAGCAGCGCAGCGGCTTCCTCGTCTTCCTCTCCCCTTCTCCACGCGCGCCCCACACCCGTGCAAACGTGCTGGGTGGCCCCCATGCTTGATTTGGGGCAGGACGGTGCCTGCGCGGCGCCTCCCGGGCGCCCCGGCGTGCGCAGACCAGTCTGCGCGCCCGGCAGGAGCAAAACGCGCTTCGGCAGAGGGCTCTCGGAGTGGCGTAACAAAAGGACCCGCGGGGGGACGGGGCGGCCTCGACTGCACTGTCCGACAGCCGGTCTGGCAGCCGTTTCGCGGGAGACTTCGACCTTCACGCTTCATTCAAGAATCATGCTCTCGCCTCAATGCCGGCTGCATCTTTGGTCCGGACGCCCCTTGTGAAAAGGTGCAAATGGCCGTGCTCTCACCCATGTCTCGCCTGTCAGCGCTGCCAGGAATCCCTAGGAAGACGCAGGAATGCACGTTTTCACTAGCCGGAGGCCTCCAGGAGTGGGGGGGCGCGGGGGCTTGCTGGCGGTCGCGGGGGCCATCTCTCGGGGGGAAGGGCTCCTCGGGCCCCTCCGAGTTCTGGCTCTTTTGGTGGGGGGCCCTCTCGAGTCCCCGAGGGGCCAGCCGCGAGGCCACAGATCCACGGCCCCACTCAGGTCCGAGAGCCACGAGGGCCGGTGTGCATGCTCGGGCAGCCCACCACGGTGCCGCAGGGCACGAGCCGCCGAGCCCGCTCCCGAAGGCCGCCCCTCGTGGTGCCGCAGTCATGCTAGCTTCTGGCTTGGCCTCTCGGGCCGATCGCGCGAGCCGTGCCCATCCGCCTCTCGACCGCTTCATATCGGGGGAGCGTAAGACCCGGGTTTGCCAGGACTCGGGTTCGCCATCGTTTTTTGACGACCGCGCCTCGGATTTTGACGAGGAGGAGTTTCGTGGGATGTCTGCAGCGGGAGGCCTCGTCAAAATGCAGGTTCGGCCTCGTCATTTTTTTGACGACCTCGTCGGGGATTTCCGAGTCCCCCGTACCCGGGTCTTACGTCTCCCCGATCATAGTGCGAGATGGGACCCTGCACCAGGGCTGGTCCTGAACGGTGTTCTTGGTGATTTCGTGGGCCGTTTTCGTTTCGACTTCGTTCTGCGGTACGTGCGGATTCGAGACAAAAGCGATGGAAAACGAAGACAAAACGAAAACGAAAAACACCGTTTGGGTTCAGCCCTGCCTTGCACACCAACCCCGACCACGTGGTTGGTGGTTGGTGGTGTTGTCGGGTCACGTCATACCCACTGCGCTGCCCTCGAAGTGCAGCTACGCGCCAGCACGTCCTCGAAGCCAGGCACTACTTGGACGCTGCTGCTCATCTCAGACATGTTCAACACCAACCTCGGGGAATTCCCCAGTGGTTTGACGTCTGGAAGTGAGAGCCGTTACATCTGGTCGGACTATCGGATGCATTGGATCGCAGCTCCAGAGTATGGGAGTGTCCAGTATGCGTGTGACTACCGCACCTGGATATTCAGTCGGGCACTGCTGGACCCCGAGCACCTCGGGCTTCAACGGCACGGGCACGAGCTGCAACTGCGGCGGCAACGACCTCTGAGACATTTGCTACCGCGACGTCGGGCGCGGCGGCTGCTACGGCTCGTCGAATTTACGGCTAAAGAGGGATGTTGGCATACTTCCTCGGGAGTTGGAGGAGGAGGAGGAGCATTTAGGGATGGAGGGGGGGATGAGAAGGGAGAAGGATTGAGGATATCTTCTCCTCCTCCTCCTCCTCCTCCTCCTCCTCCTCCTCCTCCGCGCACGCTCACGAGCCCACGGGGATGACGTCGCCGACGTCGGCGACGACGACGACGACGGCGAAGACTGCGACGACGGCGGCGGCGACGACGACGACGTCCGCGACGGCGGCGGCGAGGAGCGCTGGCGACCCGTTCGACCGCGGCCTGGAGACCTCATGGAGCGGGGCCGCGTGCGCGCTGCTCGGCCAGGACGTCGTCCGGGGCCTCGGCGAAGGCCCGCGCACGGCCGCCGCCGCCCTCCCACGGCAGCCTCGGAAGGCCCTCCGGGCGGCCCCGTCGGCAGCCGCCCTCCGGAGGCTCCTTTCGATGGGAGGGGCCACTCTGGTGAGGCTTCGGGTTGCACGCGGACAGCCCCCCCCCAGGTATTTACATAGCCCCGGCAGGCAACAACGGGCCCCCCGAGCAGCCCCAGCTGGCCTCAACAGGCCCCCCGAGTAGTCGGAGCGGTCTCGACACCTCAGCCCTGGGGCGCTCCGCGCCAGGGCGTTGAGACCGTCCCAGACCACTCGGGGGCCCTGTCGAAGCCAGCTGGGAGTACTCGTGGAGCCCGTTGGGGCGGGCCAGGACTACCTGGGGAAGCTGTCTGTGCGCAACGCGAAGCTTTATCGTGCCAAGACTCGGGCATTGAGAAAACGCCCGCCTAGACAAGTCGACTGAGGAAATAAGAAACTCTGCAGGGGTTGATTAGACATGGGTATTCGAGTGCGCTGGTGCAGCTCCCAGTCGGTTTCGCTCATTAACGTGCGTTTCGTCAGATGCATTCGTTTGTTTTTTGGACGTCGACTAGCTAATCCGCTAGGGTGCACTCGAAACCCGGTGCCGTGCGCACCTGGAGTGTCCCTGGCAGCCTTCCCTGAAAGGGCGTCTCGCCGAAGAGGGTTCTGTCCTCCCCCGACATTCCAATCTGAGTGCCCTCGAGTTCGAGGGTCCCTGGAGGCCAGTTTTGGCCCGAGGGCCCTCGAGCTCGATCGAGGGCAGAAACGCGGGGACCATGACCAAGATGTCGCAGGATCTTGTCGATGCCGATCTTGGTCGTGGTCCACGTCGGCCGTCGCCGATTCACGAGGATGTTCAACGAATTGACGCTGATCAAGATCGTCGCTGACCAAGATCGACACGACTTTCCCGCGTGCAGTCTTATCCATGGTCCCCTTATTCTTCCCCTCCACTCCACTGAACAAACGAAGTCGGAGCTCTGGGTTCCCTTCAGATCCGTGTGGCGCAAAACAGAAACGTGACGGCCGTCTTCTTCGGCCTCCCGGAGGCTTCCTGGCCGCGCGACCAAGCCCCGAGGAGATCTCCAGACACGACGTCGTGAATTTTTCCTACGGGGGGTCCCTACAGGTCTGGACGCGTTCCCTGGGACTGGTCGGTCACCCCGAGCTGCTTCTTGACGGTCATGATTTTTCCCCCTCCACTCGCGACGCCCTTCGACGGCGCCCCGAAGGCCTCGCGGAGGCCCTCCGGACGCCGCCTTCAGCGCCTCGCGAGCGCCTGGGGCGCCTCGGGGCCCCTGCAGGAGGCCTCCGGGGGCCTTCGGGGGCCTTTTGAGGAGCCCGGAACGGCTTCGAAGGCCTGGGGGCGGCGCCGGTCGCGGCCGGCGCCGGCGCCGGCGCCGCCACGGTGCCCAGATCGTATGATTTCTCCAATCGGAGCGGAGTTCCTCGACTTCGGTCTTCGGGGGGCGCTACTGTCGGGCGGCGCTAGGACGAGTAAATCAGTGGCAGAGAGTTCCAGAACGCTCTCAGAGCGCTCCAGAACGCTCTGAGAAGGCCGCTGCGCCGAGACATCTTCCAGAGCCGCCAGATCTCATAGTTTTTCGATGTATCCTCACCCGATTTTATCCTCGTCTTGGCTTCGTCTTCTGCTGGGCCCCTGGAGCATCAAGAACGCAGCCGGGACGCAAAACTGCACCCAGGGAAGGGGTCGGGTACCCTGGGGCCGTGGATTGAAAAGTCTGATCGGAGGATGCCAGGCTGGTGGTGGTGGTGGTGATCGTCGTCGTCGTCGTCGTCCATGTCGTTCGAGGATCGAGGATCGAGGATCGTTGTTCGAGGTTCGAGGGTCGAGCAGCGAGGGTCTGGGGAGCTCCAGCAGCTTTCCGTTGGGGCCTCGACAGGCTTCTCGTGACCACGGCTGGAACCGCTGCGAGGTGGTGGTGGACGCCGTTGTCGTCGTTTGAGGTTCGAGGATCGAGGTTCGCGGTTCGAGGGTCGAGGGGGGCGTGCGCCACCGCCGCGGGTGTCCAGAGGTTCATTGTGATCGGTTATCTAATTTTGTTGACGATGGCGAGATGGCGATGACGACGAGTGTGGCGATGGGGACGGTGGTGGCGATGATTTTGCTGGTGGCTGTGGTATACCAACTTTACCGTGGGACTTGAATGGATCATTGGGCGGTGATAGCAGGGGTGATTGAAAGGGTGGCTTCATGGGTGTTGTGATCGGCGGCCAGATGTAACTCCCGAACAAAACCCTGGCGCGTGCGACGTGCGCACTGCCGGGGACATGGCGTCGTGGGCGCGCGGGGGCCCAGTGTGCGCGAGAGACGCGGCGCGGGATTTCGCCGCAGAGCGCGCAAATCTCCCACGGAGCCGAAGGAGGGCTTCGCCTCAGCGCCCGCGCTGACTTCTTGTTCGAGGCCGACCGTCGGCCCCAATCGTGTGGAAATTTGCGCCCGCCGACCTACACCTTAGGCGATGCTTAAGAAAACTTAAATTTTCGGCCAGAGTCTCGATTATTCTTAACTTTCCAATGTAAATCCCAAGATTTTGATAGAAGTTCTGGGTTTTTATTCAATTTCTGAAACTATGAATTTCTTAACCCATGATTTCTTAAGCATCTCGCAGGGTGTAGGGGAACTGGGGGAACTGGGCGGTTCCATCGCCCACCCGTCCACCAGTTGGGGGGCCGCCGAGCTTGGATAGCACAGAATCTGCCCTCCTGCATGTCGAGCTCGGCCGACGCTGGGCAGTTCGCCCGGGCTCGTCGCGCGAGAGTTGTGGGCCCGCGGGCGCGCGGGTCACCCCAAACCCGTTCGGTCGCCGCTAAGGGCGCACTCTAGTTTCCAGGCTGACATGCCGATTTTCTAGAGTGGACAGTGCAGAACTCCCCGTGCGCGCGAGCGCGCGTGGTGGGTGTTTTGTTTTGCCGACAGAATCGAAGAGTCGCCATCGTGGTTTGGGAAGTACAGTGGATCGTCCACGGCGGCCGATTTGGTTTCTAAGATAACATGGGGGTTGCCTTGTGGTCTCGACCACGAACAATGCAGGGTTCCCAGAGTGCGCGCGCTGTGACTTCTGTATTGTCCACAATCGAAACATCGGCATGTTGGTTTGGAAACTGAAGTGAACCTTTTACGGTGACCGAGCCGATTTCGGGTGACCCGCGCCCGCGCGCGGGTCACCCGCCGTGCGCGGGTGTCTATGGTAATGCACGCTCGCGTGGAGAGTTCTCTGTTGTCCATATTCGAAAAGTCGCCATGTTGGCTCGGATATTACAGTGAGTTCTTCACGGTGACCGATTGGGTTCCCGAGTTAACATTGATTTTGAGGTGTGCTTTCTACGCTGGACACCACAGAACTCACCACGCGCGCGCGTGGGGAGTTCCACACCATGAACACGGCAATGTTGGTCTGGACATCAAAGTGTACCCGTAACGACGACCAATTGGGTTTCCAAGATGACGTTGGTCCTGTCATTTTTGTAAAACTATAGAAATCCCCCGCCCATGCCCCCATGCACGCGCGCGAGTGGGGAGTGTTGTGCTTCCCACAACCGAAGAGTCACCAGGTTAGCTTGAAGGTACAGTTAGCCCGTGACAGTGACCGATTGGAGTTCCAAGGTAGCAGTGATGCACGTGTGTGGTTTCCACGCGTGGCAGTACAGGACTGACTACGTGCGCGCGTGGTGAGTTTTGATTTGCCAACCATAAAAAATCGGCATGTTGGCCTGGAAGCCCAAGCGAATCCTTAACGGTGACAGAGCGGATTTCGGGTGACCCGCGCTCGCGCGCGGGTCACCCGATGGCCACCGTACGCGCACGTGGTAAATTCTGTACTGTTCACAATCGAATACTATGTAGGGTTGGAATTGACTACCCTGCACCGCGCTTGACCACTCCACTGCTCGCGCAAACATCCCACCCACCCACCCGCAACTTGGTTCGCAAAATCTCTTAAGACCGTGACGGTGGGTACCAAATGGCACTTGCCAACGACAGCGACGCCGACGACGACAGCGACAACGACGACGACGACGCCGCCGACAACGACTACGACGACACCGGCGACGTCTCCAACGACTTCGACGACGCCGACAACGACGACGACGACGACGACGACACCGACGACGACGACGACGCCGACGCCGACGACGACGACGACGATGACAACGACGACGACGATGACGACGCCGACGACGACGACAACGACGACGCCGACGACGACGACGACGTCAACGACGCTGACGACGACGACGACGACGGCGGCGACGACGACGACGCCGACAACGACGACGAAGACGACGACGCCGACGACGACGACGAGACGAAGACGACGACGACGTCGCAAACGAAGACGACGACGAGGGAGGAGGGAGGACGACGACGGCGACAACGGCGACAACGACGACAACGACGAGGGAGGAGGGAGGACGGCGACGACGCGAACGACGAAGAAGGAGGAAGGACGGCGACGCCGACGACGGCAACGACGAGGGAGGAGGGAAGACGACGACAACGACGACGACAACGACGACGACGACGACGGCGACGAAATAGGAGGGACGACGACGAGACGCCGACGACGGACGACGACGACGACGAGGGAGGAGGAGGAAGGACGACCACGGCGACAACGACGACGGAAACGACCACGACGCCAAAGAGGACGACGACGACGAACACGAGGAAAGACAGAGGACGACGTAGGCGACGACGACGACGACAACGACGCGGGATGAGGGAGGACAGCGGCGACGACGACGACGACGCAAGAGCGCGCGCGCACGCTTTGTTGAAAATCCGTGTTGCGAAACCTTGGGTTTTTGTAGGTTTTTTGGACGCGCGATTTCGAAATCCTTCCGAAACCGATGGGTTTTGAAGGATTTCGGCGTACGCGCGCGACCACGCGCGCGTCCGCACTTCGTCCCAGTTTTTTGCAGAGGATTCTCGCGACGGCACACGCGCAAGGGCGTTCGACAGATTTCGGCATGC